AACGGAATTCTCCGAGTAGCAGGATGATGGTTACATTGTTTGACTGATTACTATTTGTCAATTAGCTGACATGGAGATGGACAGAGTGAAACCATACTGAAACCGCTCAGTTTACGAATGAAACTTGAATGAATCTTGGGAGAAGGGGAAAAGACCTGGATTTTTCCCCAAAAATGTTTCAAACACTCGGTGATGATTTATGACAATTTATTTTAGCGTGAACTTGGACACTCTGATTTGGCGGCCAAAATTAACGAATTAATGAGTTTTACAACTTTACAATCCGCTAGATCGGGTCTTTCTTATGTTTATTGTGTGAGATTTGGTGGTTTCCGTGATCGAGTGTGAGCAGGTGTAACTTGAAATAAAGAATATTTAATAGAAAACAGAATTGTGCAGCTACATTTAATGTAATTCCACGCAATTGTCTCTCAAAACCACGCTGTTTCTACTTTGTTTTCCACACGGACTCTTCCACTCTGATTCTACGCACGTATCTTTCAGACGCTTTTATTCCTCTACTCGCAATTCTATCTCTTTCTCTTGCTATTTTCCTCTCGAAGACATTCAATCACATTCACCCAAATCCTTAGGTTACCACGCATCCTTTTTCACGCAAAATTCACAAGAAGATAAGAGTAAATTAAAGTATTAAGTAACGACTCGGATTGACGCAACATACTGCATTTTACGTTTTACGATTTCGACCGAATCAAAGCTAAAGCACACTTCACGCGACCCTGACCGAGATTTTCAGCCCTTATCTTCTCAGGTTTCCGTCGATACGCTCCGAACATGTAAATTTTGACGCTTCAGGGAACTTACAATCTCGCTATATTTCTTCCACAAACTATACTCCAGTATTAAACACTCTTCTTTAGCACCTCTATCGCTCTAGCTCGAGTATTCTCCGTTCACGGAACTCTCGTCCCAGGCTAAACACGCCTAGAAATCCTATCATTCGTGCAATTGTTGCGTTGCAACAACCATTCCACGTCAGTCTGGAATCTAGAATCTGTATAGATCAGTGCCGTTCGGCGGGCCTTCAGAGCGCACATGATGCGTCGTCGGCTTCGAATACGTTAAAATAAAGGTGGTCTGTTTTACGCCCACTCTGTATAACAATTCTGTTCAGGAGGCCTTCAGGCGGGCAAGGGCGCCCGTCGATGCCCGCGGGCAAAGCTGAGGGCGAAGTCGTGGGCTAGTGATGTCACATACTCACTGTCCGAAGTTTTATCTGCTTCATATCGATGGATATTATTTATAAACATTAGATAAGGTCAAGACATACTAAGGCGTGCAGTAGCGTGTGTTGAGACACTTGGAACATTTTCTTTAATCATTCATAACTCGAAAACGAAGAATGGCTTGTTGCCCGCCGGAAGTATACGCTGCCCGTACGGGCAATTACCGAACCACACTGCTCTATATTCTTCAATAATAAACGAGTACGTGAAACGTGACACAGTGAGACGAAGGGGTAGGTAGTAGACGCATAAACAAGCCAGCATAGTTGAAGGTTTAATGAAACCGAGCAGCCGTTTTAATCGGGCGCGCAGTAATTTCCACGGAGGAAATCTTAACGAGTCTTTTGTCTGGTCGGTGGATAGGTAAGGAAAGGAGAAGGAAGAAAAGCAGGCAAGTTCTCAAGGGGCTCGTAGCTCGACGCCAGGTGAACAGGGGGCCCCCCAGAGGTCCCGCAACTCGTCGAGTTGGTAACGCACGCTCAAACGGCCGCTTCTCGTGAATATTTAACAGGCTACTAAGAGGATGAGCTTTCTTGAAGAGGCTCGTTCGTGAACATGGAAACGGGACGCCGCGGAAACGAACGGCGCGGCCGCTTTTCCCCTTTTAATCCCTTGCCCGCCCTCCTCCTTCGTCGTCGTCGTCGTCGTACGACGCTGCGAAATTATAACTCTGCCAGCCTCCACCAGTTTCCCTCTCTGTCCTTCTGCGCTACCTCTTCTTCTTCTTTTCCCTCTTTTTTTTTTTTCACGGGACGAGTTGAGAGTGTCACACTTTTCACCGTGTCGCACTCTCGTTCTCGTTTCGACGGAAACAACGCGCGCGCAACTCTCTTCCTTTCCATCGTGGTTGGTTTCTTCCGGGGGAGAATTCTTTCGCGAGTTGGGTCATCGAGAGATTTGATGGGAATGAAAATACTCTTCTGATTGAAATGGGGACGAATCGTAGTGTAATCGACAACGAAGTGGTTTCTTGTCAAAAATATTAGTAACAAGTGTAGAATAAAGAATTTTCTGTAATATTTTTTGGAGTTGTGAATGTTACTTTTTAGTTTTTAAACATTTTTTATTGGAACGATGATGAACCTTTAACGATCGTAACTGGATCTCACACAATTAATTAATTATTTTCTTTCACTTTCCATACTGTGTTAGCCATTTTATTACCGCAGGAACGTACAGGGAAAACTCGGGAGATAATTAAAAAGGAAAAGAAAATTGATAAATTTTTGACACGTCAACTTGAGAAACAATGTAGATAAAGAAACTCTGATTTGCAAAAGTTACCCACACTTAAATAGAATTCAACTTTTGTCTGATACAATATTTTATAAAGTTCTGAAATTCGCGGAACACCCTGTATACCTTGGAGAAATGGCCGCTCGTCTGGAGGTGTTGGCAGATTGTTGTTTGGAAAATTTGACAGGGTAAAGTTTCAGCGGATGCGTAGTAACGTTGAATCGGGTGATCACGTCTTTGTCGGGGGATGTGAAAGTGTTGTATGTGAAGGTTTCACAGTGTGGAGACGAGTAAAGATAGCGATAGTAATTTCTTTATGTTCTTTTACGAGGTTCTCAAAGGGGGTGCTTTGTTTCTCGTAACGAAATTTGATGGGGCAGTAAACGTTACGATGAAAGACTGTTCTGTTATATAGTTCGTCTACACGAAGAAATTGTTGTTAACAGTAATAATATTTCTAACTTATAATTATTAACTTTTCTCGTCTCTCTGTCAACCTCCTGTTTCTCTTACTTCTCTTAATTGTTTCTTTTTCTCTCTTCTGGCTTTACACCCGTAAATAAACAAACAAATACACGACGTTCCTGTAGAAAATACGAACTTGAGATTTTCGTCTAAATTTGATTAAAATATCTTTAAAAAATTGGAAAAAATCACGTGGAACATTCTGCACCTGAAATCACCGCGACAGAATGGGGTGCGTATATTTGGGCTAGACGAATTCGATATTCCACTCCCTCAAACGAGGTTGATCAGCTACTAATTAATTTACTCGAGGCAAATCCGGGAATATTGGAGGAGAATTCTCGATGATGATGGGAATCGTTTAGTCGATCGAATGCATAACTCCGTCTGCTAATGAACCGGAATACATTATACTTTACATTAACTCCTTCGTCTGCGGCTCCTTTTTAAATCACCGTCCACGTTCCTTCGGATTATTCAATTTTCGCGGAGAAATCAATTCACCGACCAACGCCAGACAATCCCTCCTAAGCTCCAATTTCTTTACCAAATACCATTCAACTGTACCATTCCAATAAACTTCGCTCGCTCCACCCCTTCAATACCCCAATATCATGCTCCCTCTCTCTCTCGAGTCCAAAACATTTCGTTTCCCTTTATCGAGTGGCGTTTTACGATCGGTTCCCCTTAGAATCATCGAGCTCGCTACGAATTCGCCTACAGAAATCACGGACCTCTACAGGCTTCCATTTATAGTCCCGGATTCGGTGGCGTAAGCCTGTCGCCATAACTCCCCCGGGCTACTTGCCTCGGATTCCCTTAGAGCAAGGAACGAAGAGCGCGGAAGATCAACCGCTATAATCGTCATAGTTTCTTTTATGCAGACTGGCACCATAGAAAACGATGCATCAGACCAGAGGCGGCTTTATGCTGGCTCTCTATCGAGAGGACGAATTTCGTGACTGCTTTCGACGTGGACCTCCTGATGGGTCTTAACCTTTTTATCACCGTTCTCGCTGGAGATGAATTTTAAAGATACTCCAGGGTCTCCTTTTTACGTACTTTGTTGTGCTCTCCGTGGCTTCTCCGCCGCGATGGTTTATTGCGATGGTTGTTTGTCGAGGGAGTGACTCGTGCTGGGTTATTTCGGGATTATAGGTGTAAAGTTTTTATGGTTAATAAAAATCATGGGGATTGGGAGAGACCAAGTTTGTTTTGAAAATTAATTTCGATGGCCTCTCGCGTGGACACCTTGGCTGATAATTGGGATCTATTTTTATTCGAATACTCAATACCGTGCAAAAGAATTGCTAATTTGTAACGTAAACTTTAAGTATGAAAATAAAATATTTTTATATCTAGTAGATGTAACGATAGAAATTTACAAAATGCTAAATATTCATTTTGTCGTTTATTTTTGTTCGAAAAAATCGGTAAAACAACACGTGTCTTAAATATAAAAATATTTGTCTGGCAAATTTTTGGTAAAATTGATAGAATTTTAATTTAATCATTAATTACAGTTTAAATTAGTAATGAATTTTTCACTGCTCGTACCATCGTTTCTATCAATATTTTCCGATCGCTGTTAGTGGCCGAGCGGTCATAAATATGTGCCAACTATTTCATAATCAACGATGTTTGTGTCTTTTGAATTCTCTCGTGAAGCTTCTGTTTGACCAATCGTTTGACACTTCTCCGAGCCAAGGACTATGTGAATTTTCACGAAACATCGTTCGTCAAAATGCACCGTTTAACAAACAATGATTCATGGTAACTTGGTTTTCGACTGTTTGAATTCCATTAAGGGGACATGATGCGCGAGGAAGTGTAACGTTAATTTGCCGATTGAATATTAATCAGATCGTTTAATTCTATCACACAGGAAAGTACAAAATTCTATTACGGAGACCATTTGTACCTATTAGGGACATATTATTAATTTACATTTATCAGGTTAATTGTTCCTGATGACGATCGATAATTTATAAACTATAACACTCGTTGAACGTGAAAATTAATACAAATTTATGGTGTACTATGTACTATGATGCGGTGGTTTCCAGAGAATCGAAGAAGCACGTCGAATCGATGAAAGCTTTTCAGCGACCCCAACCGCCCCTATAACAAGGGACACGTTTTAATAGAAATTTATTGTTATTTCAGCTCCCGCGTAAACTATGTTAAACAACATTTCCATCATCTTCGCTGGAGCAATCTGTTGCCGCCTATAGGCGCTTTAAAAGGAGGATGTTAAAAAAAGTCCAATTTTAGCATAGGCTGGAACGAAAAAATTTTTTACAACATGATTCTACGCATCCTAAGGAACGAAAAATGTAATTGTTATTTTTACCGGAAATGATGGGAAAGTTATGAGAAATGCGGTTCAGGGTAAGAGTATGACCATACTTATAACTTAATATTCCGTCTGGTTTTCTTCGGACGATGGTCTGTTCGTAAATTAACCACTTAGAAAATCGTATTGAGTATTATTTACAAACATTGTTGTACATTAGTGTTTAATAAAAATCAAAAATAATGAAAAATAATTAATGACAAATTAATCGAAACAAGGAATTCTTTGATGACACGATGCTTGTATTCTAAGCAATCAGAAGCCAATAATTATTTATTCTAAAAGTGATAAAAGTTATAATAATAAATACAATAAAGTAATCGTCATGACAGTGATACAATAGAAAAGTAAGACTCTAACAGAATTTGCATTTCTAAACTGTGTATCCACTATGAAAGCCAGAGGAAAAAGTATGATCTTACATATCAGTCTAAAC